AAAAAAAAAAAAAAAAAAAGTATCTCTCTTACTAAACTTCAGATCCCAGATGTCTTCTTGGGAAAGTGGGCTCAATTTGGGATGAGACAAAATTTTTGATTATACTTATGTTAATGAGTCATCTAAAGTAAAAAATATGGAGATCAGTTTAATGTAGTTTAAAATGTTTATTATCACTTTATTTAACATTAATGGCAATGCAAGCATTCATTGATTTCTCTTTTCTTCTGACTCAGGATTTAATGTAACTGCTTCATGTTCTTGGTGCCATGGCTTCCCACCACAATGGAGTACACCTTGAACGTATGTGTGTACACCATTCTCAGCAATTACTGGTCTCAGCAGCTCATGAAGAAAGAAAGAAATGCCTTTCAGTGTTCCCACTGCAGAGGGGAACTGGACATTTCACTGGTCCTGATGGATGAGGTGTCATTAAGGTAGTGCGGCTAACACTCTAGAGAACATGCTGACTTCCTACAGATGCTTATCTGGGATGTCACTATTTCTAAAGATGGTTTTCTTTTATCTTTCTTTCTTTTTTGCATGGAAAAAAATGTTAAGGGGCTGCCTTCAGCAAGCCTGCATAGCAGCCCATTTAATCGTCTTGTAAAAATAGAAAAGAGAAGACACTTTGATGGAGATGTAGTTATACTCCCAGACTCATTAACTGATGGGGTTTGGCCTGTATCCATGAGTGCATCTGAAATGTCAGTAACTCGTAGCAAAGAGCAATGCTGTCACTTGTTCTGATTATGACCACCAATCAAAGTGAGAAAGGCATGAAGAGTGAGATTATGCCATTTAAATTTAGGTAGAAGTACCTGATAGGATATTTCACACAATTTAAAAGAATCAATAACTCTAGAAATGCAGGAAAACTTTCTATGGCACAGCACTAAAAAAAGAAAAGTGGAGTTAGCTGTAAATTGTTAAGGTGGTTGTGTTTTTGGATGTAGGGAATATGGATTTATAAGATCTTTGAAAATAAAGTGAAATCATTGTTCTCAGAAGAAGATTTAGAGCAATTTCAGTGTCTATGATTCCCCCCCAACCCAACTCCTGACAGGGAGATGTATCAGCAAGTAAAGGCAAATACCACAAAGGCTGATAACCTGAGTTCGATTCCTGGGAACCGACATGACAGAGGCAAAGAACCTTCTTTGCTGTAGTCCTCTGACCTCCACATACATGCTGTGGCATGCAGACATCCAAACATATATACTCAGACACATCCCTGTGAGATCAAGGCCAGCCTGGTCTGCAAAGTGAGTTCCAAGACAGTCAGGGCTACAAGGTGAAAGCTTGTCTTGAAAAACAAAACAAAACAAAAGCAAGCAAACAAACAAAAAAAATTTAAGGAGGCTTATCTATATTTTCTCAAAAATAACACACACACACACACACACACACACTCACCCCATCCCCGGGGGAACATTTTTCCAAACCAGTTCAAAGCAGAAATGTGCAATTGGCACACCAGTATGGGCCCGTACTATATTACCACTTCAGTGGCATTCAACTATTCAGGCAAAACGACTTTCCCAAATGTTATTTCTACATGTGCTGTTTCCATTTAGTTCTAAGATACCCATTTCTTCTCCCTTTGCTACACACAGAAAGGGAAATAAATAATGGCTCATTTGCAGAACTTGTGAACTGTTTTGTTATCACTGTATCTTAATCGTAAAAGAAAAACAGTCCTTTCTTTTCAGACCCAGTACGGTAGGCATCCACGGTTACTGAGAGTTTGTGACTGCAATGGCTGAGAGCCATCTAGAAGATGACATTTCACAGTCTTTCCCCCTATCTCCTCGAGGAACATTCCTTAGAGGGGTCAGGGTGAACATCTTGTTTAGAGCTGAGCACTTAACTATCATTATTCTCAGCACCTTGTTCAGCCACAGGTCTCTGCATTCCCCACAGTTCCCGGGGAAAAAGAGGCTTCTCTGAGGAAGGATGAGCATGTCAATTGTCTTTAGTTACAAACACACAGAAGCACATTCAGTCTATGTAAATGTAGCTAAAGAACAGAATTAAGTTCCACCTATGACATGTGACCTCTCCTGCCACATTTTTTGTTTTGTTGTGTTTGGTTTGTTTTTTTTCGTTCAACAGGGTTACAACGCCAGGTAGAATTGCCTCCTCTGGAGTTGGCCCATCAACACCCAGGCATGCTCAGAAGAGGGCTAAAGGGATCCTCCTCTTCACTGCTATTTCCTACTGATAGATCCAGACAAAGGAGAGTCATTGCCTTTAAATGTGCACTCACATGTGACTCCGCCATACAAGCCAAAGATCCATAAAACTAAAATAAGGGAAATAATTACAGATATTGTTTTTCAATAACTGCCAAAATATGAGTGGCCGATTAATAAAAGTATTAATATGTTGGTAAATGACCTTAGCAAATTTTGGTTTTTGAAAATGCTAATGTCTGAGATAGTTGAAAATATAATAGGCCAAAATATCTATTCGTGAACTAATAATATATTTTTAATATCGCTACTACTGAAACTGCTGGATGAAGACTGTGACCACTAAGAAACACCTAAAATGATCTTCTAATTGTATTGAAAAACTAAGAATAGCTTTAAAAAAGAATATAACATTCTTCCCATTGAGACACAATAAAGTAATGAAAACTACTATTTTGTTCAGTGGTTTAGTGTTATGTACTTAGAATCACTGTGAGTATTTGAAAAATTAGGTGGGTTAACAATACTGAAATCAAAATCACCTGGCTTAACTCAAGTATAGCATCCCAATAGAAGAAATTAAATGTTCTGCTATCATTATTGTGAAGACAAATATTGGATAACTGACCTATGTCTTCAGTGACAAACTAATGAAATCTCATTTTATTTTAGTTGAAAGAGTTATTGTAATGTTTAAAAAATATCAGCTCTTGGAACAGCTATGGATTATGAAGACAAATAAGTAGAAACACAACTCTTACTGCAGACAGAAATAATGGAAAAACAATCTATTATTGCAAAAATAAACCCAATATCATATTTTCATTGTCTCTTTCTCTTGTCTTCTTTGTAATATAATTTCAAAACCATTCATTGACCAAAGATCTACCAGAGTCAACTAAATGAGAGTGTATGATTATGTGATTGTGGGAAGTACTCATTTGAATCATGTTACCTGAAATAAGCTTTGATCCTACTACCAAAATAAAAATAAAAGATAAAATCAAATAAAAATTGTATATGAGAATAACAGCCATACACTCTTAAAAAATAAAGTTGTCAAAATATAGGTAGATTATTTAAATTAATTAACATTGTCAGTTGCTACTATTTGTAGATTATACAAGGGACCATAAGTTGTACACTTTTAAAACATTTGGCATTGAAGAGCTTCTAAAACTTAATAGCTATTAATTGGACACAAAGAGAAAAAAGTTAAAGAATTCCAATTTCTTCAAGTAAGTTAGCCCCCATGCTCCCATATCCAAGTGACACCTTCTGCCCCATAGGATGCTTGTTGGTAGACTATATCTGACTTCTGGGGTAATTTTCTGAGTTCCCACAATTGTCTTTCACAGTTGATGATCTGCAGTCACAAGTAGATCATTTAACAATTTAACAACATTTACCAGAAATGCCGATTACCAGAAACTACCAAATAGGCAGGGAGAATTTGAAAAGTGCACGATTTTCTAAGTTCCACTACCAATCAGTTCCAGAGAACCAAGTCTAAGTCCATTTAGGTCTTGTTATTCTAGTTAATATTTGAAAACATTTCTAGGTAAGTTATTTTAAGGTTGACAGAGCATACACTTATTCCTGGATTTCTACACACCAAATGTAAGCTGCATTGAGAGAAGTGGTACTCATGTTCAAGTAACTAACTGAGAAGGATTATAGAACAAGCTACAAGAAAAGGCTTTTTTTTTTCTCCCAAAGAAAAATTGCCATCATTTCTTGCTCTTCAATATGTGAATCATTTTCAAACTGTGAGTAAATAACAAGTGAAAATGTTTTCTTTCCACTTGGAAAAATATGCAAGAGAAATAAATAAATTCATCTAGATCACTGAAGAAAAAATACTCCCTGTCTTAGAAAGGACAGGTAAGATGAAGTAAAACAGTACAAAATAAGAAAGGTTGTCTCAATAGTTTTAGACTAACATGCAAGCATCCTGCTACACACTAAGCTTCATATTAACCTGAGTTTATACTCAGAGGTATTTCTTTTCTTTTCTTTTTTAAAGGGGATACTTTATTAAATATGTATAAACAGTTTGCATGTATAAACAAGCTTTTTTATTATTATTTATTATGTATACAGAAGAGGGCATCAGATCTCATTACAGAGGGTTATGAGTCACCATGTGGGTGCTGGGAATTGAACTCAGGACCTCTGGAAGAGCAGTCGGTGCTCTTAACCTCTGAGCCATCGAGAGATGGCTCAGCAGTTAAGGGTATTTCTTTTCAAAAGAGCATGTAACTTTAACAATCGTCCACTAACAGGGAAACTTCAGCCAGAACACGTTCACTTGTCTTAATCCCAGGTCGAAGTACATTCAGGAAATGAATCAAAATTGATGCATTTTGTAATATTAGGAGATAAGTCAATGTTTAGAATTCCTCTTTTTAAAAGTAACACAACAACAAAGAAGTATTTTAAGTACTTCACTCTAAACGTATAAAATAACATCTTGTAAGTCCCAGGGGGTGATATGAGTGAAAACTGCGTGAAAGTAATGAGTTTTCAACTCTCTTAAAGCACAACCAAAAAGCCTACTTTTCACATAGCATTTAAATATTTTCCCTTTTTATTGAAATATCTGGTCAAATAGCTGGCTTGTATTTATAAACCACATCATGGAATATTTGTCACTCATATATAAAAGCAACCTAAAGAGATCTTGGTTTCCAGGAAGGAAAGTACAGTCAGATTTTTGTCTATTCTTCCAGCTAAGTAAAATTTAAATTCTTCTATGTTATCCACCAAATGACATAGGAACACTCTAGAGGATGGAAAGAGTAAGGCAGGCAGGTTAGAGATAACTCTGATTCAGGAACAGAATTAGGTTGAGCTTGTCTTTTTACAGTAACGAAGAAAAACCAATGTAAACAGGAATCAAAGATGCGTCACACTGAGCTGCACAGTTGCATCAGTGGTTAAGAGCACTTGTGGTTCTTTAAAAAGAGCCAGTTTTTATTCCAAGAGCCCACTCGAAGACCCACCACCATCTCAGGCACCATGCATGCATGTGGTGCACAGACATACATGCTGGAAAACACAAACACACAAAATAATAAAAGTAAATCTAAGAAACTATTTAGAAAGAGAAAGAAAATAAGACAGCAAGTGAAAAAGAACACCTCAAACTAATAATGTTAGTTCTCTTGAGCCCATGTCCACGATGAGGGGAATATGATGTTTCAAGAAAGTTTTATATCTGCAACAACTTACTTTAAGTGAGT